ACGAGTTTTCCTAAGAACATACATCTCAAATTTCGTCTTCAGGTGTGAGGCAGTTTTCTCAAGCTTTTCCAGAGTCTTAATGAGATTTGTGTTAAGGACATAAGCTGTAACTCTAGCAATTCAGAATAAGATTTCATAGTTTAATACGCAAGGGAATAATTTATTCATATCCCTGATTGATCAAATAATCACTTAGACGAGTATACCACATCTGCCAGATTGCTTCAAACCATTAGTGAATGCCTCAAACAAGTTAAGAGGGTGTTACGTGGTCTGGAACTATTTGAACCAATCCATGTTATTATTTGGGAATTTATATATAAATCTCCATATCAATATCTCCATGGAGAAACACTAACCACATTTTATAGTGCTGCAATTAATCACAGGGCGTTTGAGAGAAACCTTGCGCCGTAAACCATACATCATATCGCATTATTTCACTCATCTCGTTATACTTCCTTTCCCACTAATAACACAATAAGGTTACCTTGGGTAGTGTAGGAACGATAGGTCCAAACACACTTTGGTAAGGAATTAACCTAGATAGTAATTTTGGTTGTCCAATCAATTCTACGTTATCACTAATCAACGGAACCTGGTTCAATATAGTTGCTTTTCATTTATGTTGGTAGCTACCATATAAGTGAAAATAGCATCGATGATAATCTTATTCCAATTCCATTATCTCATCCAAACTAGTATACTAGACTGAGAACTTCAAGTCTCGAGAGTAATCCGAATTAACCTCATGAGATAGAAATGATTCAGAAGGTGATCGAGTATATATTCATTTTGTGCCTTGATCTTCCTCTTCTAGGGAAGTGAATCCAATTAACCAAGTGATCTGTCATGCTTCAGGCTGAGAGAAATTGATTGGCCATCCGCCAATGTACCAGACCTCCAATAGGGGTGGCCAAACTGTCCAATAGGGATGCCACACCCTACGGGGATGTTGATTTGACGTCCGTTAAGTTCGTCTATCCTTGCAGGCATATTTACAGTTGGTACATGATCTCGTTACTTTAGCTAGATCAGAGGAATACGTCTGGAGCAACATTCTGAAAGCTAAAAGTTGCTTATCACACTTGTGCGGTACAAGGATTGAGATGAGACATAATGGGCAACAGCCATGCAAATTCGCGTCTTTCTATAGGAGCGTTAACATTCTTATCTCCCTCTAACGCCGGGAAGATTGTCTGATTGAAGTGATAATCTACAAAATAAGCAGTAAAGAGATCGATTACAAGGGCTCTAAAGAACTAGTGCAAAGGAGAATCATAATCGACAAAGATTCACATCATTCTTTGAAGACCCATATTGGTACGTTGTGGCAGTGCAACTTAGCACATGGAATGCACACCCAAAACGTGTAAGTATGAAACGTCAGGTTTGTACCCAGTAACCAATTGTAATGTCAAAAAATAGATTGGGTGGCAATGGGCCTCAAGGTGAACCAACATAGCGATGTACAAGATTGCATAACCTAGGTAGAAACCAACGGCTTTGTGCGTTCACCAAGGTCTGGGTGATCAATTAAATTGCGCTTATGATCATTCTGCAAGGCTGTTTTGGGATGAACATGAGAATTTTATGTCTAATTATAAACTCAAAATAAATGCAATACTTATCGAAGCATCTTTGATATACTGCGGCATTATCCAGTCTTTTAGACTTTATGGGATAATTAGGGTGGTGATCTCTTAAAAACGGCCAAGAAGTTTAGCAATAATGTGTGTTGACAAACATGTGACCATTTTATCAATACATCAACCAAAACCATAAATATTTATATGGTCTGCATTTTGGTTGGATTAGTCCACATATATTCCCTTGAATCCACTATGAAAGGAGGGTAGTTTCGTACCTTTGTTAGGGATGTTATAGAAATAAAATTTCCCAAACGAGTAGGCTTGGCAAAGTGTGCTTGTAGGCACATTATCCTTATGTCGGGTAAAGAGATGCGGCGTGGCATCATTATACAACCTAAGTGTCCTAAATGGTCGTGCCAAGGCAAATAAAATGCTCAAACCACTCAATTCTAGGTTGGCCACATGTGGCGTATCCTAGTTGGGAGGCAGCACATTGGTCCCAAAATATAGCTTCAGCCTTGTATTTTGGAGGTGGTGCAAAGATATTCCACTCAATTTTCTTTAGTGGTTTCATTCATGATCATTGTTCTCTCGAATATCCTTAAGGCTCAACGATGTTCTTCTCGAATGGGGAGAATATAAGGTCTCTTAAATGGTAATTTAGTACGATTCATACAATGAGGAGTGTGCCAATGCTATTAATCAGGTTGGATAGACCTGAAGTTGTTGCTAGAGATGCAATTTAGGTATAAAGTTAATGTGCGTAGTATCGCGTTCATTCAAACAACTGACTTTCCCACATTTGTACCTAATCACATGTTTAATTGAATTCGGTCACATGTATTAGAAACATGATTCAATTAACTTATATTTGAGGACAACATCGATAAGATTATACATAATGAAAACAAACACCAAACACGAATCGAAGAACATAGAAAAATGTCCACAAAGTAAACCAAAGTTACTATAGGGATTCGGCCAACAAGGTCATTCATGTCAAAATTTTGCTCCTCCAACAGTGTTCGGTGGAGCAAAAATTAGTCTCACATATTGACTACGAGAGTGGTGCTCCTCAATGACATTCGTAGGGGCACAAACAGGTGCATAACTAATGATCTATTCCATAACAAAAACGGAAGTAGATTATGCAGGGTTGAGGTTTAGGAACACTATCTAGTATTCTTGAAGTTTTAGGTCTTAGGTGTCGAGGATCACGCTTCGGGCGTGATGCCAAACATTGACAAGCCTTGATTCTACCATATGTTGTAAAAACAAGCTTGAAATTAGATTGTGAGAGGGACAGACCCAGACTTGGGGTCGTAAGGTTTTAGCCAAAGCTGAAGAGGCCTGTTCGGTATGACTCTGCCGAAGCAGAGTATACATTTCGATGGGCCCCAGCTGAAACTGGGTATCACCATTTGGTAGACTCCAGTCGAAGTTGAGTATATGTTGTTCTGTCATATGTGTGGTAGTAATAAGATTCGAGAATTGGTAAACTTCTGCTCTATACACTATTGCTTCAAGAGCGAGTTAGAAACAAAGAAATACAAGAAAGGTATTCTCCAGTCAAAATTTGATCAGATTTATAAACTTCAAAATCGTACTTATCTATGGATGTAATCACGGTGTGCTTTAGGCAATATCTTTCATGATTAGATGGTCCATAGGAGCAAACCAAATAGCCATGGAACCCTCGTTAGGGAGGTACTTCCATTTGTTATGCTTTGAGCATAAGTTTTCGGATGAAGATCATGGCAGAGGCTTATTTAGCTCTTCCATTCCATTGTTGGCTTCAATGGTTTCTCAACTTCTTGATAGTCAAGTGGAGATTCACGTCTTGTACCCACATAAAGTGGTTTCTGTTAGAAACATCCAAACCAGCGAAATCGAACTTGTCATAGTTCGACAATCCACTGAATGGAAGGAACAAGATTGTGATTGGTGCTATGGGAATGAACATCCATAAGAATTAAAGTTAGAACATTCGGGTTCTAAGACATGGTTTACATGAAAAACGTCAGATTTTCATGGGTATGTTGTTTTTTGAAAACTTCAGGTTTCAAGGGCACTAAATTCGAAACTATAAGTTCGAGTTTAGTTATGAACTTCCAGTTCATAAAATGAGGTATATGTAATAACAACAAATACAACATACAACTAAGTGTAGTGGATTTGGGTTGCTTCAGGAACTCAAGTGTGAGTGCGTCGGGATTACGAAAGGGAGTCAACAGTTCAAAGCAAAAATGTAAAATATTGAATCGTTGATGTCAAAAATGGGCTTAAGGTCAATAATTTTGGATGTCTTATCAGTTTAATGGACTGCTAGTCACTTTTAATTAATTCAATAGATCAAGACCATTCAGGGTCGATCGTAGAAGCAAAATATTACAAAATTTTAGGCCATATTTTGGACTAGATGGCTGTACGGCACGCAAAAGGAAAGCCTTAAAAATTGGTTAAGGCCATGAAATTGGGCACCAAAAAAATATGGGTGCAGTTGAAAAAAAAAAAAACACCCAAAATTGGCTTTGGGCTAAGAAAAGAGGCAGCCCAGCATTGGATTGCTGGCTGTTGTCAAATCTGCAAAGCCTAACACTTGCAGACTGCAAGTTGGCCTTGTGTGAGGCTGCTGCAGGTAGCCCAACAAAGTGCAAAAGCAAGCTTGCAGGCTAGCTGCAGTCATGGGCCAAGAGAAAAGAAAAAAAAAATCCATAGTAGCAAGTTGCTACAAAGCGGGCCAAGGGAAAAATTAGAAGGACAAGCTCAATCAGCGGCTAGAGGCTGATTGAAGGTGGGCCAAGAGGAAGCCCAGTAAAGCAAAAAGCTTACTAGTATGCGGGTTGATATCTACAAATAGAGAAGCCTAGACAAGTGGGCTTTGGGTTCCGTGCACAACTATGCCCAAAAGGGGCTGCTGTCTGTGCCAACACGGCTTTGCTCACATCTTCGGTGCGAATTCCTAGATTTTTTTTTTTTTTTTTTCTCGATTTCTAGGGTTTGGAAAAACCCAAAATTGCTTATATTTTCTTTCGATTATTTGACCCACAAATTCAGAATAGCTATTTTATAATTGTGTAATGCATGAACACGAATATATATATTGACAATTATACGAACATATAATATATATATATATATATATATATCATAAGGAAAATATAAATGTAGGGGTTCATGTATCATGGAAAATGTCTTCATGCTTCATAGTTGTTTTAACTATCTTAATTTATTTTAAAATAATCTGATTGGCAAAAAACAACTAAGCTAGTAGCTAATTTAAGAGATATATCAAATATAATAGGATTTACATAATTACATTCATAATCTAATAAGACTTCAACAAATTTTATGTTTTTCATAACAATAACTTGATAAAATTTGCAAGCGAAATCTGCCCTTGTTAAAAAATAGTGGAAAATGTTCATTGGTGTGGAAAGGATGCTTCATCCCCACAGAATGCCAGTAGCTATAGTCAAACATTCTCTAGGGAACCCAGTCAGATTCAGGTACTACAAACCCTACTTCTTGACCTTCCTCATGCAACTGTACCATCAAACCCCTTTTTTGTAGAGAGTGAAAAGGTGAGAGATGAGCAATTCAAGTAGCTTGGTTGCAGAGGCAGTGTGGAAGGCGATTGAGTCAACTCGTTCAGTCACCGACGATCAGCTCTCCGTGTTAGTCTCCACTCATCCCATTTCAAATTTCCTTTTAATTTCGTTTGAATTAATTGTTCCAATTGTGTTATTGAGTGTTTGGTTGCTGGGAAAGTTTCAGCCTGCATTTCTTGTTTGGGAAGAACTTGGAGAGAGCAACAAGGATAGTGGATCAGAGAGGTGTGAAGAGGGTTTTGGGTGAGCCCGGTGGTCGTTCCATCTTTCAGGTTTGAAATTTTTGATCAAATCAAATTCTGGTTTGTTTTGTATACTTGTTTTCAACTGGATTTAGTAGCTTGGACACAATTTCGGATGAAATTTGTTGAAATTTGGGCTAAATTTTATCTGAAAATTTGGAATTTGGATGAACACTGCTTGAATTTGGGCAGAAAATTATTTGTTTTATGTTCTTGTTTAAGCCAAAAAGATTAAGAAACTTTGTCATTCATGGAAATCAAATCTGGGATATGAATCATGTTCATTTTGGCTAAATGATTGTAAATTTATTTGATGTGAAGTGAAAAATGAAATCCCAATTCTCAATTTACGTTGTGTGGTTAGGTCGTCGGAGAATCGCAGAGGAAGGAGGAGTACTTGTGTTTTGCTGAGCAGTATTGTGCTTGTTATTCATTCTTCTATGACATTGTGAACAGAGGAGAGCAGCTTTGTGTGAGTGAGATTCCTCTCTTGCTCATCCAATTTTTTATCGATTCGAGCGTTGTTCTAATTAATCTAAACTATGGGGAGGGGGATCCGAACTTGCTCATCCCTTCTAAAGTTCCTCTGAAACTAAAAAAACGAAAAAAGTACGAAAGTGTTCTTATTTTTGTTATGCTTCTTGTTGTCCAGTGTAAGCATCAGTTAGCTGCAAGACTTGCTGCATCATTGGGAGCATGCATTGAAGTTAAGGTCTCTGATGAGCAGCTGGCTTTACTGCTTTCCAAACTCTGACATAATTGGACATCCAAAGTTTTGAAGAATACCTACTGCAAGAACAGGTCACAATTGAACTTGTTTTGCATGGCTACTTGTTTAACATCACGAGTATGTATATCTTCTCGTGTAGCCAATCCGTCATGTTGTAGCACGTGTATCTAATTATTGATTTTGTACCTTCAATCTATGAAATATTAACCATTTCGTCTACCTATATTATCAAAATATTTTCCCTTTTCATGAATTTACTCATCACTTTCACATCAAATTTTCCGGTTTGCTGTAAGAGCTGAGGAATTCTTGTTCGCATATATTTGGGAGGTGGGAATCTTTTCTTTAATTCTTTGGCTAATGATTTATCCTTATTTTGGTTTTGGGATTGGTTTGTTGTCATATCAGTTCGGTGGTCAATTGGCACGTTTTACGTGCGTCTGGATTTGAGGCTGTCAGGACTCACACTTCGGGCTTGAGCAAGGCCGTTTCTGATATTTTGGCCATGTTTGGCACACCGTATAAGGCATCGGATAGTACTAATAATACGGAGTACGGTGTTTGATGTCCGTTTAGATTAAATAAGCACTGGATTAAATAATTCGGGCCCACCTTTTTTATACGCTCTCCACCCTCTTCCTTATACCGTCCAAAAGCACGGTGTAATTTAGGGCTAGTTTGGTATTGCTATGCTTTGAAAAAAAGCTGCTGTGAGAATAAGCGGCTGTGAAATAAATCAGCAGAGTGTTTGGTAAATTTTTTTATAAAAGTGCTTTTAGAAGAAAAAAAAACAGTTTGATAGTGGGTCTTTTCATTAAAGGAGCACTGTAGCTCCGTGTGCTTCGAAAAAAGCCAATTTTCCAAAGTTGCAAATAACAACTTCAGTTTTTTCCTTTGATTTCAGCTTATTCTCACAGCAGCTTCTAAAATAAGTTCTTTTTTTTTTCAATTTACCAAACACCTAAAACTCTCACAATTTTTTTTCATAAGTGCTTTTTTTTAAGGACCTCACTCCCAAACCCTCAGGCATCTCTCGCTCTCTCATTCCTCTCCAGACAGTGGTCTCCAGACACTCTCTCTTTCTCTCCAGACGCACTCCTCTCTCGTCTGAATCCCAGGTTCGTCTTCTCAAATTCTTCTTCTTCGTTTGCATCACAGTTCGTCTTTTCATTTTTCTTCTTCTTCTTCCCTGGCTTCTCTCGCTCTGTCCTTCCTCTCCAGACGCTCTATCTTCCTCTCCAGAAGCTCACTCACTCTCTCCCCGCCACTTGCCCCCAACTTTCTCCTCGTCTTTATCGTTACGCTGCTGCTTTTTTCCGGCTACCCAAAAACCGCAGCGCTCGCCCGGTACGCCTCTTCGATTTTGGGTATAAAGTTCCAATTTTTATTCATATGGGTTCTTATTTTTGCTATGTATGTTTAAGATTTTGCACCCACCAGGATCAAATTTGGGTGGGTTTTGTGAGTTGGGCATCGAGTTTCTGATGCTTTTAGAGATATGGATTGTCAGTGATGTTTTGATATTTCAATAGTCAGACTTGTGTGGCTGCATGTGTTTTTTGATTTCTACTGGGTTTAGCTAACTGGGTTGTGCGGTTAATCTGTTTGTTCTCCAACTTTCTTACGATTTAAGTGCTTTTAGGTGAAGTACTTCCTGTGCCTATTTGTTCTTTCTTAGTAGCTCAGAGGTTTGAAATTTGATAGTATTTCGTGCTAATTTTTAAGGGAACTTGAAGAATGAGGAATGCATATCTTGCTTGTGAAATTTGATACTATTTTTCTTGGGACATTTTGGATGCGGTCCCTAGCTATCAATATTCTTTGATTGAAACCTTGTTAGTTTTTATTTTTTGATTAAGGTCCCTGACATTAATGTAATAATGTAAGTTACTATATTTTTTAAATTAAAAATTATAAATTGAAAATTGTAATTGTTTATATTAATGAGATTTTAAATAAAACCTATAATTTATGGGATTAAAAATAATAAAATATAAATTATACTCGCTATTATATTGTGTGTGTGTGTGTACATTAACCAAAATTAACAAAAAAAGTTATTGTACCAAAACATGGATACATTCTCAAATCAACGAAAAATAATGTACCCATATAAGTTTAAACATGGATTAAAAAATTTGAATGGATTTTATATTAAAAAAAGGGTACATTTTACATATAACAAATTGATATATTTGAGAATGGGTGCATTTAAGATTAAAAAAATTGAAAATTATATGAATGGGTACATTTAAGATTAAAAAATTGAGAATCTTTTTATATATATAAAAAAACTAATAGGTACAAACTTAATTTAATTTAATTTTTTTATTATTTTTGAAATGTTTGAATTGAAAATTAATTAGAAGTTTAATAGAGGTGTGAGTATTAAACCCTAAATTAATTACTAATTTTTATATTAAAAAAATTATATAATAAACATGTAAATTCATTATCACATTAATGATAGGGACTTGAATCAAAATTTGAGAACTAATAAGGTCTTAGTCAATGAACAGTAAGAACTAGGGATCAGATACTAATTTTCCATTTTTCTTTGTTATTTGAAAATTTATGTGGGTTTCAATAGGTATAAATATGAGAAAAGTTCAACAAACAAACAAAGATTTGTCATATTTTTTTTTCCTTGTCCTATCCGGTTCAATATCAAACACAGTATAAATAATACAATTATTAGTCCGATACTGCACCAAACACCCGACTAATATAGTCAGTACTATCCGATGACTATTTATCCTATCCGACAGAAATAGTCAATACAGTCCAAACTGCCAAACGAGGCCTTAGAGGCCTAATTATGATTTAATAAAAAGGTCCTCCTTAAAAATATTTTTTTAGACAATACATTCATACAGAAGTTCATAACCAATATCCAAACTCAATTGAAATCAGCATCTCACTCTTAATAATTTAATAATCTGCAACTGCCATTAGGGTTCATCGAAGAAAACTGGAGCACGACTAAAAGAGAGATGCGGAAATACGTTTGTGTTTGTGGAAGAAAGTAACATACAAGTTAGTTTTTTATTGATAAAGAAAAGTGGAAGAATGTAATATACATGTTTTTTTTTATTGCTATAGAAAAGTGAAAAATTAATATATTAAGTAGGCTTTTTAGCCAAAATGGTCCCTAAGATTTGCATAACTCATCACTTTAGTCCCTAAGATTTGAAATCAATAGAAGTGGTCCCTGAGTTTGTCCATTATCAATCATTTTGGTCCTTCAATGAAAATTTATATTAAATAAGGACCAAAATGACGAAAATACCATCAATTTAATAAACACGGGGCCAAATGAATTAAAAAAGATTGAGGGTATTTGTATCATTTTAGCCTTATTTAATGGAGATTTTTCATGGAATGACCAAAATGATTGATGGTTGACAAACTCAGAGACTACTCCTATTGATTTCAAATCTCAAGGACCAAAGTGAGAAGTTATATGCAAATCTCAAGGACCATTTTGATTAAAAAGCTATAAGCTCCACTTAACTAATTGTAATACAGATAAAGCTATATGATGATGATTTTTCTTTTCAATTAAATTTTTTTTAATAGAAAATTTATACTCATATATAATATAGGACAACCAAAATTTGGGGCCCTTAAGGAATTCGGAGCCCTGTGCCATTGCACCTTCACACTCCCAACGCCCCTCTGGTCTTGAGTCTAATTTTTTTATTAGAAAATTTATACTCATGTATAATATAGGACGACCAAAATTTTGGGGCCCTTAAGGAATTCAGAGCCCTGTGCCATTGCACTTTCACACCCCCAACGCCCCCTCTGGTCTTGAGTCTAATCTTTTTTAGTAAGTTGCCGATTTCTCTTCTAAACTTTCACTTAGCTTTCATTTTCGGTTGGAAAATTAACGACTCAAACTAATTTTTTTTTAGCCGATTCTCCCCTACCTTTAGTTTTTCATATATTACATCCATATTTCCGTTAAATGAGAGCATGTGCACAACATGTGAGTGTAGTTAAGTTATTTCACTCTTAAAAATAATTAAAAAACTGAAAATAAGACAAAAACAAAACCTTCCCTCTATTTTTTTCCCACTAATTCCTATCCTCAATTTCATTTTCCCCTCCTTTTCAATCAACACATGCTATGGCATGAGAAATGAAACATAGTGTTATGTCTTCATATGTAGCTAAATTATTCTTTTTCTTGGAGCAAGAACTACTACCATCTTTTGTTTCTTCTCTAACAAATAAAAATATGAACAAATACTCATGGTGTTATTGTCTCCAAAGCAGTGCATGAATATAAGAAACTTGTTCATAATACTTCTAAAAAAATGCTCATGATAATTACAACTTTTCATATGTCATAAGTCCCAATACAATTCCGCAAAATGATCATTAAGAAGTTGGAAAACAAAAGAGATTTCACCATCTATAAGGCGTATAACCTATAAAATCTCAATTACAAAATATGGGCATTCCACTCTACCAACACACAAGCAAAATAAGGTTTTAGTTATCAAAACAAGAGCACAAATGTTATGTTCAAAACACACATGACACGTGAGATCAACTACACTTTCCATGACCTTCCTCGTTTGGCTGGAAACTTGTACCTAAACCCATTTTCATTTTTGGTGGCTGCTTAAGGTTGAGGTTGTAATGTAGAAGCAGCAACTTGGAAAGGTACAGTGAAAGCTAAGACGGGAAAAAAAAAACAAGGAACCTAAACAACGCAGTTGAGAGCTCCGTGACCTGGAGTGGATTGTAGGGCAAAGGCAGAGCCTCACCTTGCACAACCCCGTGGTTGACGTCTTATCTTAGCACTTTAGCACCTATCTTTACCAGAAGAACTTATTCTTGACTTCCTTACCTTGTAGTGTCGTACCCTCACCCATTTAGGTCGTCCTTGACATTGTGCTTGAATTGGAGCTTGAGATTGAGTTTCACCTTGATCTTGCTTACCTCCTAAGCCCTGAAGTAAATCAATGATGTTAACAATAGTTTATTTCAATTTAAATAAAAATGAGACCTCAGTCATCTTGAGATCCCATTACAATACATCTCAAACAATTTACTTTGAACCAAATGGACATAATTTCTTTAAGACCACATATACATTTGACTACCATTTGAAAACCAAAAAGAAATCTCGTACAAAGCTACAGAAGAGAAAAAAACCATGTAAAGTCGGCATCTACCTATTAAACAAACAATTACAAAAGGGATAAAATATACTTACAATACTTTGGACGACTCCC